GCCGCCGCCCCCCTCTTCCCCACCCGCCCGGCCGCCCGACGCGACCCGGCGCGCGCCATGTGCGTCACCGCCTTTCGCCACGTCACAGCCCAGCCTCGGTCGCTGTCACGTGACGCTGGAGCCAAGCGCGACAGGGGGAGGCAAGGGGACATGGGGCACTTGAGGGCCTCCGTCCGTAAGGCTGGAGGGGCAGGGGAGGGTCGGGTCATGGAGGGGAGTCCCAAGCTGGGTGATGGTCCCAGGGGGGTTTGGTGGGTCCCCAGGCTGGCCAGGGGTCCTGGGGTGGAAGGGAGGGCAACTGAGGTCACAGGGGGCCCCCAGGGGGGAGGGGGGGGAAGAAGACAGAAGCCCGGACACCAGGGTGCTGCCTGCATCGGGGCTGTGGCACCCCTAGTCTGTCCCCTGTGGCAGCAGGGACGTGGGCAGCACAGCACAGAGATGCCCGGGAGCCTGCGGCCATAGGAGCAATGGCGCGTGGCCCCCAGCGCCCAAATGGAACCACCCTGGGAGCAAGGGGGTGGCTGGGCTGGCAGCCCGGATGCCTGGGTTCTGGCTGTGGGAGGGACGGGAGCCTGGGCTGAGAGCCTGGATTGTCCGGCCAGGTCTGTTTGGGCAGCAGTGGCCCTGTGTCTCTCCCCCACAGGGAACACAGCTCATTCCTACGGGGGCAATGCCAGGACTTTGTTGAAGAAAGGTTAAAAAAACCCAGCAGGAACCTGGTAAGGCGATGACCTGGGCTCAGGTATAGGGCCGTCTCTCAGACAGTCATTGCTACGCCCATGTCATTGCCTGCTTTTGCATAGCAGCAGTTTTGAGGCCACTGAGCTGGACTCCTTCAGTGAAAGGTTGACAATCTCTGTGCAATTAACTGCAGTCTCTGTAGAGGAAAGACACAGGACGATTCCTGGCCACACAGACCTGGCCAGAGAACCCAGGTGATAGGGCTCCTAGCCACCCCCCCTCTCCAGCCCACTGTCCCCATTCCTCTCCCAGAGCAGAAGTGAACCCAGGCATCCAGATTCCCACCCCCACCAATTGCTTACCAAGCATGGGAGGTGCCATGGCCATGGCATTGTTCTGCAGCTCTAATGTCTGATGCCATGGAGCGCACAGGTAAGCAACCACTCCTATCACAACCAGCAGTACCCCCACCACCAGTACTAGGAACCAGACCAGGAGGGAAAGCAGGTGTAAGAGGAGGCAGCAGGTGCAGCAGAAGCACCTCCCTCCCTGCTCTGACACCTGGGGTCCTTGAGCCAGGGGCTGGTACAGATTTCTGGGGCATATGCAGTCCAAACCCTACCTGAGGCAGCAGGATCAGCCCTGTCCAGCCCAGACACCCTCATCCTCAGTGATGACTGTTCTCTGCCAGGCTGTACTGCATAGTCCCCCACCCTTGTTGTTCCATGGGTCAGGGGGTTTAAGCCACCCCCACAGGCACTGGGTGCTAGCTACAGCTCAGGGCGGGGACTGGGCTGTGCCAATGCTCCTGCTGGGACTCAGCCCTGGAACCTTCCTCCAGGCCTGTAAGCTATGGGAGTGGGGGCTGCTGGGGTCCTAGATGCCTGGGTTCTCTGGCTAGGTCTGTATGGGCAGCAGCCATCTTGCATCTTCCCCCCCAGAGTCCAAGTTCTGTCCTGATGAGAAGGCTGAGACTTTATTCAAGGTCAAACATTGGTCACATTAAAAGAAAAAAAAAAAGTGGGCAACTATTGGGTGGGGGTAACCTAGGCGCAGCAGTGCTGGGCTCTGTCTGAGGCTCTCCCAAGCTGCCGTGCTCTGCTGGGTGCTCCACCCCCCTTGCTGCTCCATGGGTTGGGGGCTTCCCCTCCCCCAGAGGTGCTGGCTGCACCCCAGGCTGGGGGTAGGGACTAGGCTGTGCCAATGTTCCTGCTGGGACTTGAGTGCAACTGGCAGGGGGAGGAGGAAGGGGAGGAGCTGGGAGCCCAGACACCTGGGTTCAAAGGGGTGACCCTGTTACACCCAGCCCTAGCATCACTCCCAAGCTAGCCACAGCTCAGCCCCCCGCTGTACCAGCCCCATGTGTTCTCTTACCGGCTGGGATAGGTTTTGCTCCACGTGCTGTTGGGGTGGGGGTCCACATCTGCCTGAACATCCCCCAGCATCTGCAGCTGCCTCCACGGTTTCTCCCTCAGACACTGATGACAACTCCTCCAACTGTTGCATTGGTGTGATACGGGTAGATGTCCAAGACCTGGCCATGTGGCTGGCTCTGGGGTGGGGTGTAACGGCTGGGTGTTATAAGGGGTTGAGATCCCACCGCTCCTGGGCTGGGGCACTGGTTGTAGAGAGCACCAGTGCCCGGTGCGGAGATGCAGCTGCCTTGGGTGGGTGCTGGGAGTGGGTAGAACAGGCCCCCCTGGTGCAGCTGGCTCTGGCATGGGAACCAGGGCCGGGTATACCAGGGCCCCTCCCCAGTGCAGCTGCTCTGGGATGGGCATCCAGCACCACGGGCTGTTTCATTTCTCCCAGCAGGAGCAGCTGGAGTATTATGTCATCATACATGTACCATCCCCCTCAATTGTGAGGAAGAAGTCAAACAAGTATAAGTGTCCTGCTGAGCTCAGGGGAAGGAAGAGAGACCCGAGTCTGCCCCCATCTGCTTTCAGCTTTGGAACAAATGGTGCCATCCTGACTCCCCTTCCCTCTGCACCCAGTATGGACCCCTAGTGCACCCCACTCTGGGGGGAGGCACAAGCCCCCTGTGGGCCCTACCACTACCCTGCTCTGTACCTCCCCTAGACCCTTGGCGCAGCTCTGGACAGGTGCTGGGACATGGGCAGAGAGAAGCCAGCGCAGCTGCTGCCACCCAGCAGTGGCTGGGAGTGCTGGCTGAGGCCGAGCAGGTGGGGGGCAGGACTGGCTGGTGGGCAGGCATCTGCCCCTCCATGCTCAGCCCCATGCAGAGCCAGGGGCACAGTCTGGGTTCCATGTACATGTGTCCCAGGGAGCTTCCAATGGAGTTTCCTTCTTTCTAGGATCTGCTATTTTAGCTAGGATGGGGAACAGAAAATGAGCAATGCCACCATACTCAGATCCCATTGTTGCAAGGGAACAGCACACCCCCCCCAGCTGCATCTCCTGCATCTGACAGCAGAGCAGAGCCAACCTAGCTATGCTACACCTGCAGTATATTACATGCATGAGGCCAGAATGAAGACCTCCTGTGTCCGTGTCCCATTCCTGTCCCACCTCTTCCCCCTCCCCCCACCCCCCCTTGAGACCCTTTTATACTTCTTTCTGGGTTTGTGTTTTAATTGAAAAAGAATGGGGCTACAGGTTTAACTGCTGCAGGGGGGCCTGGGCAGATTTGAGC